GGTATCGGATGCCGCAGCACAAACAAAATGTCTGATCTACGCCGCCGCCTGGTTAGCTCAATTGGAGAGCGCCGGACTGCTGTGCGGGAGGTCGAGAGTTCAATACCGGCCGGACCAACACTCAGGGTCTTAAAATTAACTGAGAAGAATATGCTTCCTTTCTTTAACATCAAGAATTGGTTAGATATTCTAGTCTTCTCGGATAGGGACGAATAAATGGAGGTCCCGTCTCCTGCAGGGTTAGGGGCAGGAGACGTTAATTTCCCACGCACGAGATTACTGTGTGATGGATGTCCTCCCCTGGGGTGGGTTGGGTGGGTAACAGGACCCCCGTTGATACCAGTGTTTACTACACTGAAGGGGCTATCCTGTATAAATATAGATGTCTGTCTGTCTGTCTGTCTACGCCGTCACAAGGCATCAATCAGGAAAAGTGTGTCAGGATTTTTCGATATTCTGATTGGTTGCCTAGATATCATCATCCAAAGTTGAAGTAGTTAAAAATATGCGAGGCGTGTTGCGTAACTAAACGCAAAAAAAACTTACATTTTCCTCGTATAAACATTGGCTAAATCCATTCCTGAAAAAAACGGCAAAAACGGCAGCAAAAAAGCGATTATGTCTCTTGAAAGTCGCTTTCATGGTCGTCGACACAACTTTTCGTCAAAATCTTTCTTGTAGTAACTTGCTATGTTTGCCCCCTGAAGACCTCAGAGAGAGACGTTTGCAAAAACACCAGGATCCGCGAAATGATGTGAAAGAGAGGATTTTAGCTGCCTTTCCTATCACTTTATTCCTGGGATGTTTGCAAATACAAGAGAGTTGGTTTCGCAAAATCCTGCTCTCATGTATTCACCTTAATCTGACAATGTAGCTGCGTCTGACACTCAGACAATCTTGAAATGCATGCCGACGTCCTTGGTGCACAATTTCTCTCATCAATTGATTTGCTAACTGTGCATTTTAACATTTTCTGACTTAAATAGTAAGGGAGCAGGAACCGAAAACTGAGAGTTTCGTTCAACCATCGCCACAGAAAATATTGGACACCTGATTCTTGTAGAGAAAGACCTCCTGATCAAAGCCGGGTAGTTCGTAAAGTTGAATTAAAACTACAATATGTAGGCTCCACCTCGACTGAATTTAAAGTTAGATTTCGTAACCACAAGTCGAACATGATGCTGAAGAACAAAAGAACTTGTGAATTGGCAACTCATTTCAATGACTCTAAATACGACATTTCTCAAATCAATTTCATTATTATTGAACAAATTAGGTCTTTTGAAAATGCCGCACACCTTGAACGATTATTACTCACTAGGGAGGCCTATTGGAGCGCGCAGTTATTTACCTTTAATCCTCATGGTCTTAGCAAACGGCGGGAATCTAGATCCAAACACCGCATTCATTACTACAATTGAGCAGCTGCCATTTTTCCCAATAGAACACATCTCATTGCAGTTCATTCCGTTAACGCTAATAATTAATTACCAACTTAACGCTAATAATTAATTACCAACTTAACGGCCTGCTCCCAGTTGGCTTGTTAGCTCAATTGGTAGAGCGCTGTACTAGTATCGCAGAGGTCAGTGGTTCGAATCCCGTACAGGCCTGATTTTTTTTAGGTCTGATTTTCGCTATTGCTTAAATAGCGCTATCCACTGCGAGGATCGTGCATCATAGGTATCTAATACCGCAGTACAAAATATGTGAACTTCATATATTTCATTGTATCTCATTTATCACTTTCACGGGTTTATTACGAATCAACTTAACGGCCTGCTCCCAGTTGGCTTTTTAGCTCAATTGGTAGAGCGCTGCACTAGTATCGCAGAGGTCAGTGGTTCGAATCCCGTACAGGCCTGATTTTTTTCAGGTCTGATTTTCGCTATTGCTTAAATAGCGCTATCTACTGCGAGGATCGTGCATCATACGTATCTAATACCGCAGTTCAAAATATATGAACTTCATATATTTCATTGTATCTGATTTATCACTTTCACGGGTTTATTACGAATCAACTTAACGGCCTGCTCCCAGTTGGCTTGTTAGCTCAATTGGTAGAGCGCTGCACTAGTATCGCAGAGGTCAGTGGTTCGAATCCCGTACAGGCCTGATTTTTTTCAGGTCTGATTTTCGCTATTGCTTAAATAGCGCTATCTACTGCGAGGATCGTGCATCATACGTATCTAATACCGCAGTTCAAAATATATGAACTTCATATATTTCATTGTATCTGATTTATCACTTTCACGGGTTTATTACGAATCAACTTAACGGCCTGCTCCCAGTTGGCTTGTTAGCTCAATTGGTAGAGCGCTGCACTAGTATCGCAGAGGTCAGTGGTTCGAATCCCGTACAGGCCTGATTTTTTTCAGGTCTGATTTTCGCTATTGCATAAATAGCGCTCTCTACTGCGAGGATCGTGCATCATACGTACTTCATATTCTCTTCGCTATCTATAATTGTTACCGTTGTTTGCTCTGCAATGCTCATTTCCTTTGTTTTCTCCATCAGGCGCAATTTACCTTGACAGTTTCAGCCTGATTTTTGGTTGGTTTTTAGAGGGAATCGCAGTTAGCACCAACGTAGTTGT